CGGCCGCCAACATGCTCTTTGAGGGCTTGGAGCTGGTGTCGGCGCTGGCCACCCTCGCCGCGTGCCTGGTGTCGGTGACGCTGCTGCTGGCCGTGTCGCAGCAGCTGTGGCAGCTGCGCTGGGCTGCCACCCGTGACAAGAGCTGCAAGCTGCCCATCCCCAAGGGCTCCATGGGCTTCCCGCTCATCGGAGAGACCGGCCACTGGCTGCTACAGGTAAGGGCGCACTCGCTCCGCTGCTCTCCGGGGTCCGCTGGCTGCAAGCGCGGGACCGATGGAGTCGCGGGCCGGCCAGGGGGCGCCGGGAGCCTGAAGGCACTGGTCCCCGCCCCGCCCCTTTTCTCCTCTCTGCCTGCGCTGCCCCGGCTTCCCCTGCCCACCTGCGGCGTAGTTCGGAGCCCACTGGTGTCGGGTGCGCAGGTTCAGAGGGCTGATAAAAGAGGTCAGCGGACCCGAGAGGGCTCCCAAGACAGACTTTTTGCGGTTGCAGGCAACCGGGTGGGGGTCTGCGAGGCGTCCGCTTTCGCCTCCCCTTCGCCCTCCAGGCCCCAGTCGCTGTCGGCTTCCTGGGCTTTGGCGGTTTCACTGGGATCCGAAAACTGAGTCGGGGAGAGGAGGAGGGGGCCAGTGGCAGATTGAACTGCCTATCTAAGACCGAGGCTGTGTTCCCGCCGCACCGTCGGCTGCGCCAGGTACAACTGCCCCGAGCCACGGTCGGAGAAAGTGTGGGTTTTGTGGTGGGAGAGGAAGGAGGTAACCCAAGGAAAATGAGAAGCCTGAGGGTTCTCTGCTTTCGGAGAAAAGGGTCTATTTACTTAATGGGTGGGGACAGTGTGGAAGGGGAGAGAAACTTGGGAGAAGTGTGTGTGAGATCCGTAGAGTGCGTGAGTGTTTGTTGTTCGACGCCGAACAACCCCACACTTCGGGTGATAATAGTGGTGGGAGCGTCGGGAACCGGACCCAGGTACGTAATGGGGAGATTAACCTGGAATTAAACTCTTCAAGTGCTAGACAATCGCTTTGCAATTTGATACACACCAAGTTTTTTCTTGGCGGGGTGTGTGTGTGTGGGGGGGTGTCTCCTGAGCGTTAACCGCGGGAGGTGTGTTGTGTGCACGCGTGCACGAGTGTTGGTCCCAGGGATGCTGAGGGTTAGGAGAAGGATGGACGTCCTGAAATGGACAACCCAGATACAAGAGAGATGAGGTGGGAGGTGAATGCAGAGACCTGTGGGTTTAGAAGTGCGAAAGCTTGGCTTGAAATTAACAGACGCGTGCAATCCGCTCCAACACACAGAGACCCCGCCCCACGCCAAGTGACAGCGGAGCGGGGGTGGGGGTGGAGAGGGAAGGGGGACGCCCGGTTCCTCTTCCCTGTGGTCATCCCAAGTCTCGGAATCAGCTCATCTCTTTTTGCGGTTGTTCGTGCAACGGGCTGGGGTTCACTTTAACCAATGGGACTACCCCCCTGTAAAGAATTCCCCAGAGCCTATCCCGTGCCACCATACTTTAAGGGTTAACTGCAGCGGTGGTCTAGGCTTTTGGCCGAGAATTTAGGAAATAAAATAACTCACATGGGCACCGGCTCCTGCCTCATTAGAGCCAATCTGCGGAATCCGCGGTCTGTCACCGTCCCCCTCCATTCTTGACCTTTCTCTGCACCCCCCCATGTCCCCCTGACCTTTTCTCCGAATCCCACAAGGGCCCCTGGGGCTCAACTTCCAACTAGAGCAGAAGATGAGGAGGAGGAAGCAGACCTACGCCTCCCCATCCATCTATCCCTGGGGCTCTAGACTCCCGGGGAGGGGGGCAGGGAAATGGGGGGGGGGAGGAATGCGTGCAGAGGAGCACCGAAGGGGTTAATGGGAGCCTCTGAATCCCAGCTTTATTTTTTCGGAGTCATTTATCAGATTTTACGGGGGGACCTCCAAGGGCTCTCCGTTTCCACCATGCGCCATCTAAACAGAGCCCAGGGCTAAAAATACAACATTTTTGTATAAATTGGACTCGCGGCCCGAGCGGCCGCCCCTATGAAAGTCCTCTTTGTGAAGACCGTGGAAACGGCGGACAAATAACTCTTTATTAATGCCACAAAAAACGCACTTTAATTATAGTTAGGCAGATCAGAGGCGGGGGTGGGGGCGGCGGGAGAGAGGCGGCGGCGACCTCGGAAAATTCACAGCCCAACTTTTGTGTCGAAAGAAAAGAAAAACAGAGGAAAAGAGGGAGAGGAGAGACGGAGAGTCAGACGGAGCGAGGGAGACCGGTATAGCAGCAGACGGAGGGAGGGAACCCCGCTCCTCACCCCCCTCTTTGTCGCACCTCCACCCTCTCCTAGATTTCTCTTAAAGGGGTAGACTCTATCTAGATCGGCGGCAGAGTGGGGGTTGTTCTCTCTGACCCGCCAACCTGGGAGTGGGACGGTGTCCCGGTGATCCAGCCCCCCTCCTGAAAGCGCTGGCGCTCCGGGCTCGCTCCCTGTCGCGCGCCGGGGCCGGAGGCGCATGTGGAAAAGTGATTAGTACTCCTGGTTCTGCAGAGTCACTTTCGGCAGTGCAGTGTGTACACATGTAGCTGGAGAATATGTTTCCGTGGAAGAAAGGAAAGTGAGGAGGAAGACCAACCCCGGAACAGAAGCCTAGTTGTGCCATCCGAGGTGCTTGACCCCGGGGATCTGGACCCCGAATCCGCGTTTCTGTTAGCAGGCAGGCAGGACGGCCGGACAGGTGGCGCCTCTCCCCTTCTCACCCGGTGCTGCCCTGGCAGGAGAAGGGTTAATGTAGGATAGGGTGGCAAGCGCCTACGTCAAAGGTGAGCAGGACGCCTCCGCCCCCGCCTTTCGGAGGTCCCCTAGGTTTCCGGTACGCGTGCAGGGCCGGCCCAGCTAGCTCCTCGGAGCGCCGGGCCCGGCCGGGGCCTAGCCCTCATCAGCTAGCGCCGCCGCGGCTGCCGACGCGGATCCAGTTACCTGCGACCGCCGCCCCGCCCGGCCCCGCCCCTCGGGAAGCGCCTTCCTCCGCGCTCCCGTTCCAAACTCCCGGGCGGCGACGAAAGTCCTTCTCAGTTATTTCCAGGGTAAATTGCATTAGGAAAATCGCAGCTCTCCGCTCGTGACCCAACCCTGAGGAGCCCTTAGCGGGCCGCCGGGTCCCTTCGCGGCCAACACCCAAGAACGGAGGAAACCCCCGCCCCCATCTGTAGTGACTGCCTCCGGGCACGGACCGCTCACCGCTATAAATAATCTTTGGCCTGCGGCCACCCCGCGGGGTCTCGCCAGCCCGTGGCCGGGAGCCTGGAAATATTTATTCCGAGAGGCTCGCGAGCGCGAGGCGGGGGAGTTGGGGAGTTGGGGGTGGCGGAGGCTCTATCTTCGAGTCCCGCAATCCGGGATACCCTTTTCCCTCCCGCAAGTCGTTACTAAAAAACAGCCTCCCACGGGGTGCCCTGGGCTTCCCGCCTCCTTGCATTATTTATTATCCTCTAGGCCCTGCTTCTCAGTTCTTGTGCATGCTATGAAAAATAAAACCTGCGTGCGTGTTTGTGTATGTGGGCGGCAAGGCACTGGTGCCCCGGGTGGTGTCCTCCGCTCCTCCCCCGCGGGCTTTCGAGACTGGGCCTTCGGGACGTCCCATCTGGAGATGTGCGCCCTGAGGGAAGTCTCTTGTGTGGCTCCCGCAGGGTTCGGGTTTCCAGTCGTCGCGGAGGGAGAAGTACGGGAACGTGTTCAAGACGCACTTGCTGGGGCGGCCGCTGATCCGCGTGACGGGCGCGGAGAACGTGCGCAAGATCCTCATGGGCGAGCATCACCTGGTGAGCACCGAGTGGCCGCGCAGCACCCGCATGCTGCTTGGCCCGAACACGGTGGCCAACTCCATCGGCGACATCCACCGCAACAAGCGCAAGGTAAGAGCTCTGGGCCGAGAGCCCCGCGACCATGCTCTGACCCTCTTCTTCCGTGCACCCAGCTTGGGGTATGGAGTTCTCTGAGCCAAGAGAACGTCTCCGCCCGAACCTGCGACCCCCTCGCTGGCACGCCGACTTGGAGGGTCCCTGCATAGGCCGCCTTCGGGTCGGCCCTGTTGCTGGCCCACTTCTCTGGGTACAGTACCAGGCCCAACCGGTGGTTGTATGGGGGTGGTTTGGACAGAGCCTGAACGTGCGGGGGTTGAGGCGTCTAACTCCTGTCCTCGCCGTGCTCCCTAAAACTAGAAAAAGAGGAAAGCGATCTGTGTCTGGCGCTCCTCGTTCCATGTTTCCCTCGGGAATTCCGACGGATCATTCTAAAATCAAAACTAGCCTTCCTGCCACAGGTTGCTTTAATGGCAACGTAGCCAGACGCGGGGGCTAGGAGCACCTTGTGGGCAGCGGTTGCCGGGCCCTGTTTGGGAGGGGCGGGGTGAAATTTGGGCCACTATGCGCACCGGTCTGGACGTTGGTGGAAGGGCGAGGGGCGGGAGAGCAGCCGAGGCTCGGCAGAGGATCAAAGCGCACCTACTCCCTCCCATAAAGAGGAAGAGAAAGTGGGTGTTTATCCTGTGGATTTCCCGAGCGCCTGAAAGAGGCACGGAGGAGGCGAGCCAGCGCGCACGGAGCGAGCCTCCCCGCCCCCTCCTAGGGCTGAGCCACTGGCGCTGCAGCCGCCGCGGCTCGGAGCGCGGGCGGCACGTGCTGTTTGAACTGCAGTAACCCGAAAGCTGAGCCGCCGACGGGCGGGGCGCCGGCCTGCGGGCTTAAGGCAGCCAGAAGGGGGGTGGGGGAGACTGCGCGACCTCTCTTCCTTACATTTTTTTCCATTGGGTCAGAGGACTTACCCAGGTTTGAAACCTAAAGGAAAGAGAGAGCAGCCTCTGATCTCTGGGAAGAGTGGCAAAGCCCAGGAGAAGGGAGGGGGCAACTGTGGGCACCCCCCTCCACCGGAAGTCTGCCTGTGAGGTGGTCTCCGGGAACGTAGGAATTCAACTTACAGTATTTGATGGCTTCTGAACTGCCTGTGAAGAGTAATTCTCCGTAGCAGACAAAAGGAGGAAAAATTACTCGGAGGGGACTGGTCTGCGCGTACCCCCAATGCTCCTCCCCCATAAAACATGTATTTCAGGGACTGGAAAGGGGCTCCTAAAGTTGTTTCTCCCATCTGCCTCGCTAGATCAGGAAGCAGCTAACAAGGCCCAGGGTCAAATGGGGCGGGCGGAGCTGGGTTCTGAGGAGTGGCTGGAAGGGTGCTGTAGGCTCAGGAATAGGGGGTTTTCAATTACGCTGGACACTTTCTTTTTCTTAGTCTTTGTATCTCCATTAAAAGCTCATTCCAAAGAGTGAAGAAAGAGCCTTGGTCTCAGAAACCCAGCTCCAAAGAATGTGACTGCTTCTCATTTTATCTTTATAGAGGCTTTGACGAGAAAGCAATTATTTTCCCTTTCTCACAGAAGGGGATGCTGAGAGACTCAGGTTGAGAGAGGCAAAGCAAAGGCAGGTGGGGCCTGCAACACCATGTCCATAGAAAGGTGTTTCTGGGCCACCAAGCAGAGCCCTCACTCAGTCTAGTCTACTTGGGGCTGCCAGAAGCTGGGAGCTGGGGGTGGGGAAAGGTATGGGG